GCACGATTAAGATTTGATGATAGTCTGCATTTACACCTGCTGCACGGAATGTTTTCATATCAGAGATCAATGCGCTCTTCCATGCGCAAGCGTATCCATGCAGAATTTTGAAACTGTGAAAAATGGTTTCAGTATTTGCTGAAACCTTTCACACAGAATTGATTAAGCTGCTTAAGGTAATGATTAATAGTGCCAAAAATGCTTCACACCGTAGATTCAGACACTCACTTTGTTTTCACCAAAAGGCGAACAATTACTTTAATATTACAAAAAGGAGAATAGCAAGTTTAGATATGATAATCATGGTCAGTATCCCTATATGCACTCATCTAGCACCTTCTTTATACCATAGCCATTCTTCAGGCTTAGCCTTGCATCTCCGTATAGGGATGAGATTACATGGTCATCAGCATTACGAAACATAGAAAGCTATCTGGTCTTATTCAAAAATAAGACATCATCTGCGTTGCAGAGGCTCTCATTGTTATCAGTCAATAAATCGTATTGTTTTGTATTCTGTGGGTTTTTCTGACCGTGGTGGTCCTAAAACAACTTTCCACGTGAGTGAAATTTTTTGAATAAAGAGGGCGTGGTGTTAGTCACAATTCCCAAAAACCGGATCTTAGTCTAAAAAAGTCCCGCAAGGCTCCAAGTTCTCATGGAAACTTTCCACATCAGACGTTCATACGTACACTTGCGCTATTCTTTTCATAGTTAAAGATCGAGGAAAGAAACGTGGCACTTTTTTGCCAAAGCAATGCTAAACTGTTTCCACACTGATATTTTTACAAATTTTCGCATGTTCGACCTTGAATTTCTATCATTCCGCATGCTTTTTCGTTTTCTCCTTTCAAACAAGGTTCCGTAAATTTCCATAGAATTCAGGAAAGTTTCTCAATTGACCCTTTTTCAGACTTTCAAAAGTTTTAAAAGCTACGAAAGCCGTAGGAGTTCAACAAAAACGAGTACTCGTGATTAGGTCTTACGCAGAGGGTTGCGCAAGAACATGTTGGCTTAACTCATTAAGATGACAATCAACTGCCACGTTCTCAGCGCGCTTAGTCGTGTCATGACAATTGAAATGATATAAGTTTCGCCAAGAATCCGCGAAGTTTTATGACTAAAGCCAAATGTATCCTTGGCTCCGGTCTTTCTCTTCTGCTTCTTCGTCTGCCCTGTTGCGCGCCACCTAGCTACACCAAACGCGGAGCACGAGAAATCTAGCTCTGGTGCCCATTTTCGCTGTTTTAAACCCATTCTAGCACAAACTGTATAACATACTGTACTCTTGACCTCCTCAAGATCTGTACTTTCACGCTGATAACGTCGCACATTTCCAATGATCTTCGTTCAAACGAGAAATAGACAAAACCCTTGTTTTCGAAATTTTCCTGTAATTTCTTCAGGGTATCTTTCCACTCGGTTTTACCCTGCATTTGATAGACCTTGCCTTTTAACAAGCTTTAAAAAGTGCTTTTTTGTTTATAGCTCTTTGCTAGACTTATTGAGCAACCAATTCTTTCACGCTTAGGATCACCTTGCTCAAATTGTACAAAAAGTAATGAAATTGGTGATTGTTTTATACTGTCAATGTAAGGTGAAGCATTCTTACAGAATGATGATTGGAAGCCGAAAAAGACATTAAAGCAAGAGAGTCATAACAATTATTAGGGACATTTTTTTGAGACACAATCAGGGTAAAGCGGGGGGTGCGGCACGCGACCGCCGGATACGACCCCCCCCCTTGGGCCGGACCTCGGCACGACCCCACCCCCATTCCCTACCCCCCCCCCCCTTCCCCAAACTCTTTCACATTGAGGAACGCTTGAGCCGATCAGTAAATGCTTTATTTCAACTCTATCAACTTTCTTTCAAAAAAAAAATGAATGAAGATTAACACTTCAACTGTACAATTTTCTCTGAAGACGGCTTCTCCATTTGAATGAGGCTTGCAAACCATTTGCTCAGATAATCAAATAGAAAGCCTGGTTTGAACGAACTGAGCAGTAGATTGAACGCCTTCTTTTATCTCTCCGATGCGCCGCTCCCGAAAAACGAAGGGATGAGTATAATCATATATGAACCCAACAATAAAGTGACGAAAAAAGAGCTAGATATTAGCAAAAATTACTCTTTTTCGTTCTCGACTATGGAGTCTGTTGTTCCTATGCGGTAAGTGGATGGACTTTTTTTTTTCAAGTCGAGAGGCAAACGCATACTGTTGCGATCAAGATTGATCTCTTGAGTAACCTGCAAGATGAGTTCATATGCATGAGCGTTGATCAATGTAAAAAATCGCAGTTATTACTCAATTAATGGATATTTAAAAGCTCTCACTTCTTCCACCTCACTATGTCCCTGCGTCAGTGATTTGTAGATGTCCGCAACCCGTATCAGGAACGATGCAAACACTCTATTCAAAATAGGTACTCCAATATCTGCTCGATCTTGTAAGTACAATAGCAGACGACATACTCGGACTTCAGCAAACTGGTTCTGTTCGCCTTCCTAAACAAAGATGATATAGCCACAAGGTGATAAGAAAGAGATGGCTCCAAAAATCAAGCACGCAGAAATATAACAAATCTGAGCAGCACCATTTTGTCAACTCAGCCATATCCCCAAGCATTTGTTGACAGTTGAGGTGTCGCGACAACGTCATGTTTCAGATATTCAATCATAGAATTTACAATGAGAGGGAAAGCATGCTCGTTGAAAAATATCGACTTGACACCTTCATCGTCAATAGGAATGCTGCTGATTACTATACTGCCTCCTGTGAAATTCGAAACCAATAAAGTCTTCACTACCGATCTCCTATGTGAGCACAAAATCATGCAGAGAAAGTCTCTGAATCGCCGCCTGTTACATGGCTTATGAACCCTGCAGGTACTCAAATGAATTTGTGCTCACATAGGAAATCGATAGTGAAGACTTTATTGATGTCGAAGTACAAGAAACATACATCTCATCAACAACAGCAACATGATTTCGTTGGTGCCGTAAGTCAGTCTTGATTGAGGTTATAAAGAAAAATAAAATAAAAAGAAATAAAGAAAATTTACCTAAACAAAGTCTTCATTGGTGAGATGAGATTACCACTATCCAAGGGAAAAGCTGCATACAGAAAATCTAGCAGACTGCGTTGTACCAAAGAAGATCCAGAATTATTGGCAAATGCACAAAGAGCAGCAACCTAAACACTTACGCTGAAGAAAATACGGATAGCTTAACGGTTGCAACGGAGAAAAAATGGCGTGATAACATTGAAATTTCCAAAACATTTGAGGTGTTCATTTCTTGTGGGCCAACACGTGTCAGAAAAACTTGAAAAATCGTCGCCAATTGCCCCTTTATAGCTTACCAATGAAGAAAATGCCGACAATCAACTGATACAATGAAGATGCTGTGCTAACTGTTGTCTAACTACTTTGCAAAAAAATTATGGAATACATGGATAGCTAAGTGAACGATTGATTGACACTAGCATTAATTGAAAAAAAAACTTGCCATATGATCAACGTGATCTCCAACAATTGCAATTTGATCAACACATGTAACACATGTACCACTTTCACGAACTCGAGAAATGCAACTGCTAAATGATTTATCGTTTTAACCTGAGGAAAATCTTGAATACGGTCCAGTCAAGATAAGAACAAAGATAATTTGAGACAAATGAAGGCGATAGGTAACAAAAATACGTAAAACGTATGCATGGATAGTGCTTATGCGGAAAAAACTTGCTGAACAAAAAAGTAAACTGGAAAAAAGCTATGTAGTACCTTTTGCTCTTCCACTCTCACGAGTTCATTGAGGTATTGACATGTTCTGCGCCAGCGGAAAAAGAGATTGTATTCATACTTGTACGTCTTTCCACACAATGGACATAGATAATCTCCAGATAGCTGTAAGGAGTGGCTACACGTAACCCTTTAGAATCAAAACAAAGAAAATCACACTTGATGAACAGGCAGATGTCGCTCCAGTCGAGCTGATTTGACAAACGACTGTTTACATTCCGGACAAACGAGAGAGAAAAGCGAGAAAAAAAGAGAGAAGCCCGAAAAACTGCGCATCACAAGATGAGATTTTAGCTCGCAGATTTCAAAGACTCGCATCTCGCGGCTTTGTGTTTTGACAATTTTCGAGCACTACCGTAACCCAATATTTTTTGGCCACACTTCCCAGCATATGGTTCGCAAAAACCATATGTATCTCCTTCTAAAGAAAACGCTTCGAGGGGAAACAGCTACTACGGAGAGAGGAAGGATGGATCTATAGGTTGACATGAAAAAGGCAGCTGTTTGAACGTTTTGAAAGTAAGTTAATGGCCTGCGGCACCCCCCCTCAAAACCTGCGGCAGCCGCAGGTTTTGAGGGGGGGTGCCGCAGGCCATTAACTATATCAAAAAAACATTTTTAGCGGACAATATTTATATGAATCAATAGCCTAAACCTCGTAGATTCCATAAGGATGTTTTGAGCCTGATTCGTCTTCTTAGCTCTGAGTAATATTTGGTGAAAGCACAGCGATCAAAAGCTAAAAGCGATTTTGGTTGGCTATTAATTCAATAGTTTGGAGTTCTTCTGAAGCGGGATTCCTGAGGTGGACAAAGAAGGAGTAGTGCTTTGTATTGAGTGCAAGAGGAGGAAGCTTACTCACCGTTAAGATGAAGTTAATCATGTTTTAAATTACTGCTTTATACAAGGTTGTTTACTGCTCGGAGACCTCAGAGTTCGCTGAAACTTGGCGCATAGGGATTATTCGACACGCGGATTACGACAATTGTGCTTGATTAGAGGTACGGTAGGTTACGGTAGGCATACGGTATCTGCAAGTTTGTGTCGTTGAACTTGAATTTTGCAGGATTTCAACAGCGTGGCACATCTAAGAACTTAGCTGCAGTCATTTCCCCTTAGAAACCGCTTTTGACCCTGGGTCGATACGACCCCCCCCTACCTACCCCCCCCCCCTTACGACCCCCCCTTGCGGCGTGCCGCACCCCCTGCTTTACCCTGGACACAATTATGTATATACTAGGTTGTTCTGAAAGTTCTGTCATTTAGTTTGCCTTGTTTTAACGCAGCTAGTTTTAGAGATTTGCATTTGTTGCGAAAACACAGGATGTTGAAAAGTTCGTGCAAGTACTTCCAGTTCAAATTTTGACGCGCTTTTTGTTCTATTGTGCTCATTAGGCCTAGAAACCATTGTTTCGGTAAAACCAGCTTTCCTTTTGGTTTTTAGTTTTTTTTTTGAAATTAGATTGAAACACATCAATATAGCTTTCAAACCACTTTCCTTGAAACGCTTGTTACAAAGAAGGAAACATGATTCACAGAAAACTAGGTGTACATTCTGAAAGCTCTTTCTTTAAGGTTTCTTACATGTGATTTTAATTTTCGTAGAAGTAAGTTCGTTTTCAAAATAGCGTGCCTTGAAATAAAGAGATCGAGTTTCAGGATTTCTTCGTCAACGAAGCACAGCACCGAAATTTTCTTATTTTATCTTTAAAACCTTTACAAGCATGCAAAATATTTGAAAACAAGTACAACGAAGTTCAGAGAGTTGTACTTGTTCTCAAGCACAAATACATGTTGAGATAAGACCTCCAAATTTTTTTAAACTAAAAAAATTTTAACGCAAACTGGTGCCGCGACTGTCTGCTGTGATTCAGCACATGAAAAAATCTTCGTTAGCAAGCTACTGAAGAACTTTTGTTATAAGAAGAAAGTGTAACTCTAGGACTATTTTTGATAAAAAAACCAAAAGCTGTTTTTCTTTTTCGGGTTGAAAAAAAGAACCAATCAGATAACGAACTCTCCAAGAAAGCTGAAAAAATTGTCTACTTCAAAAATTTTTAGGGTTTCTTAAGGCAAAAAATATTGTTCTTTGTTGATTCAGTGGTTTCTAGGTTTGGCGAACACACATAGCAAAAATCGAGTTAGCATTCGCAGTTGAAGTGCTTAAGGACACGAACTTTTCAAACACCCTGTATGAACACCATCTGAAGGCACTTTCTTGTTCTTCCTAGTCCTCACTAATGCTTGAACAAGTTCTTAGTAGTGAAAGTCCAAGCCCCGAAGCCAAATTGCGAAAATGCAGCCGTTCTCAAGGTAAAGCTCATTTGAAGAGAACTCCCGCAGTATTCGTAAAATTAAATGTGTAGTATTTTATAATGGGTCAGGGTGTGATGGGCTAACATATTCATACTTTTCTTTGACAGAGAGAATGTCTTCCTTTTTCAATTTTTTTCCAAAGGTGGAGGACAAGCTCATTTATTCAACAAGTAACAGCAATCTACGTATAGCCAGGACTGATGTAGTAAATATTGGATATATAGAGTAAAGCGAGAGCAAGCGGGGTTTGCGACAGCAAGAAAAAATCTGCCGAAAGGCGGCCAATTTGCGATCAAGAAGGCTATAACGAGTTTTCATATTTGCTTGTGAAAATTTCTGTGTAGCAAAGATGAATTGAATTCTCTTTGGCCATGAAAGAGTCACTGAAGTAAAAGCTGCTAATGATGGCAGCCAAATATGTGTGTCTATCCTTGTATAAAAGCAAAAGTACGTAAAAGTGGGCGGTTTTAAAACAGATCTTGCGAAAATCTCCGAATTTTCTCTTCTCTCTCCTTGCCTTCTTTACATAACATACTGTGCTTATGATGGACATAAAATCGCTTAGTCCAACAAAATTTGATTTGTGCAAAGATATGATTTGGCAAAGAGTTATAACATTTTCAGTCAGAAAAATTGTCGGGCAGAAGCTTACGGAATAATCTAGTTTTAGGTTTGTAGCTCTGTCGCATAACTTTCAAAAATCGTAAATTTTTAATACACTCTTTCAAGGTCTAGTGATATAAAGCAATCACGTTGCAAATCTGAAAATTGTGCAATAAGATCTAAAACATCTAGTGTCATATGCTTTCTGATTTCTTCTTTCTAACTGAGCAAAGCCTTTCCTAATCTAGCTCTTCTTTGAATGTTTTGATATTCGAAAGGCGAAACGGATTGGATTTCTGGCATTTTCCCTTGAAAATCATAACTATTTACAGAAAAGTCCTATCAGCTAACACATTGCTAAATCAGAAAGGGACCAGAGTACTTATGATACTGGGTATTTTGGATTGTATTGCACAATATTGAATTTTTTTAGCGGGCTTGCACCAAATCACCAAAATTTAAAAGACTTTTTTTTCATTTTTGATCTCCAGTCAGGCCTTTGTAAAGAATAAGCAAGGTGTCATTAAAATATACACGGTCCGCACTCTCTATGATACAAGCAAGAACACTGACAGAAAAACCTACGGTTTTTGTTGAAAGTGGTAGGATAGAACTTTCCGAGCAACCTATATTAGATCGGTTCAAGAGTTGTGCCATTTTTCAGACCTGTGTTTGAATCACTCAGATCAAAGGTAGACAAACCTCCAAACAACACTCGATGCAGTTTCTGTCTTTTTTATACAGATGTTTCTGTTGCAAGTATTCGATAATCGCTTGGATATGATCGTCGGAATCTCCAACTCATCGTTTTCTCTACCCTAATTTTGGCAAATTTTCAGAATCTTCATTTCATACTTTGGAGCTACTGGAGAAGCTTTATTAACAGTCAAATAGCGCAAACAAAGTTTAATGCAGAGAATTTCGGGCATTTCATGGCTCTTCGGCATTTTAAACATTTTTTTTTCGAAAGTTTTAAAGTTGCAAAATGCAAAGCTTCAAACACTAAGGAATCTCCCGTTTAGAACTACCAATCGTTATAATTAAACGATAGTTCTGTAAGCAACTGAGTGTCTACTGCTTCGGAATATTGAGATTCGAGTTCTTTGGGCAGCTTGGGACGCGCATAACAAAATTGTGATTGTTGTGTTAGTGGCTGATCGGTTGTTCCTAATACGATCTGCAATCGCTTAGTTAATGCAACCTCAGTGTGCGCGCATTTTTCTCGTTTTCTTTCCTTTCCAATATTAGTCGTGCGGTGCCATGTATCGTCACAAGGAGAAGATCGAAGACGTGTCCGGAAATGAGGGACACAACAGTGGCGATCAGGATGACATTTAAACTCACGCGGGAGAACATCAAG